CCCCAACTTGGTCCTTCCGTTAAAAATCCAATGACATGTCTTGGTGATTAACGGTTACATGATGACATGTCAAATTTTTAATACACGTGGCACGGGGACATGACAAAAAGTGATGACATGGAAATATGACAAAAAAAATTAATGACAAAAAAAAAAAAAATTCTTTCCTTTTTTTTTTTTTCCCCCTCCTCTTTCACTTTCTCTTCCTCTTGGAACCCGGCGCCTGGTAGGTTCCTTCGAACCCCGATGGAACCCAGGCACTGGGTTTCTTTTCCCTTTAGAACCCAGCGCTGGTTGGGTTCCTTCGAACCCCAATGGAACCCAGGCACTGGTTTTCTCTTCCCTTTAGAACTCAACACTTGCTGGGTTCGATGGAACCCAGGCATGCTGGGTTCCTTCGAACCTAGGTATGCTGGGTTCCTTCGAACCCAGCACGCCTGGGTTTAGAAACTCTCCATTTTTACCTCCAGTTGCTCAGCCACCGTATTCCTCCCCACACAAAGAAGTAGAGGAAGAGGAGAGATCGTCATTGTCTTTACTCCATCATTTGCTTTTGCTTCTTCTTCGATTCTCTCTCTCTTTCGCTAAATTCCTCATCAATTTCCTATTCAAGTAAGCTCTCTCGGTCGTTTAGCTTTGAGGCTTTGTCTTTTCGATTTGAGATTACGATGGATCAATTTATGTTTGGTTGATTTGATGATTCTGTTACTCGTTTTGATGTTTTTGTGCCATTGAAAGTGAGATCTGTGTGTACATTGAAGATCTTTGTTGTCGATTTTGCAATTTTAATTCATTCTGGCTTTAGTTGTTTTCAGTGATTGCTTTATTTGGTTTCTTGATTTGGTTTTTTGGTCTTTGGATCTATGTTTTATTATGCTACTATTGGCTAGTTGGATTGTCTGGATTCTGATAGTAGTGTTCTTTCAAACCCAGGCGTTGGGTTCGATAGAAACCAAGCGTGAGGTTCCTTGGACTCTAGGCGTTGGGTTCTTTCGAACCCAACACACCTGGGTTCGATGAAACTTGTGTTCTTTCGAACCCAGAGGCAAAAAATAAAAAAAGAAAAAAAAGAAAAAAAAAAAAGAGCGGGAAGAACATATGAAGAATTGATTGATGAAGAAGACAAGATAAGGAAGAGGAAGGAAAAAGAAAGGGCGCTTGCTGAGGAACCCAGCACGCCTGGGTTCCATTGAAGAGCTTGTTGTTCTAGGGTTCGAATGGGAAGAACAGAGGAGAAGGGTTCAATTTTTGCAAGGGTGGGCCCCACTTTTTTTTTGGTTTGATTATCGGTGATAATGAAACATGTCATATTGCCATATCATCTTTTTTCCAGGTTTACATCTGACATGTCACGTTATTTTAACTGTCATTGTGTTCCCGTTAATTAACGGGACACGTCACTGGTTTTTTAACGGAAGGACCAAGTTGGGGTCAAAATGGTAAATAATAGGGACCAAATCAGAGATTTATTGAGTTGAGGGACCAAATCGGGGGTCCGTACCATAGTTGAGGGACCAAAATGGGGGTTTAACCTTTTTTTTTTCTTGCAAAGAAATGGTTTAGTGTGAGCGGAGGTCATTGCAGTCTAAGGCTAAACATAGCAACAGTTCCAATAGGATCTTACAGAACTCTTATATCCACAAAAAAAGTGTTAAAAGTGGAATTTGAACCTAAGAACTAATTGTTAAAGCATTCAAATCTTATCAATTAAATCAGCTCTTTGGGCTTTTTACATGTAATGGTGTATTAAAAACAATCATAAATCTAGCTTGTAATTTCCTCCCCATTTCATTTTTTTTTTTAAATGTCCTCACTATTTCCCTAAAAAATTCCCTAACCAAGCAGGGCATTAGAGGGAGGAAAATACAAAGGTAATAATCTCAACCACCAAATTCTAATATTTAAATCATACTTTAGCATATTGAAAATTGAAAAGTTGTTGTTTTTATTATTTTATTATTTTATTATTTTACTATTTTATTATTTTATTTTTAAGACAGTTGCCATTCTACCCCACAAAAGGAATTTAAAAGCGCCCAAAGGCTAAAATACAAAATCAAAGCCAGAGGATGCAACACAACAGTAGCATACTGGGAATATTTGAGATTGGTGTAATGGGCCGGTGGCAGGCTTGCGCATGCGTTCCTTCCCACCCAACCATGTGGGCCTCGGGCCCACCTTGTCTTTTAGCTTTCACAATCTCAGAAACATTGCTTCCATTTTTCTAGACACACTGTTGTGTCCCTTTCCTCACTTATTTCTGCTGTTCCACATTTTGCCCTCTGCCTGTATCCCACTTCTTTTTTCAATTTTCATCCTTAGTCTGATTGCATGCTAAAATCATGTCTTAATCTTCTAACTTCAATCTTAAGTCTCTTAATTAGCACCCCATTATGTCCACCTACTCTTACAACCATTATAACTAATCCGGTTATGGCTACCAATATTTTAGTTTTTGTTTTGTTAAATTATTTTTTTACCTATTTAAGAAAAGACAAAAGTGATGAGGAAAAAGTTAAGAATATATGTACTTTCTTAGATAGAATGGGTTAAAGAAGTAATTTAACAAAGTAAAAAGTGAAATATTAGTGACCTTAACAATATCTTTAATGACCATAATCAGAACCGTTATAACTATGTATTTTTTCTTTGTTTTCATATTACAATTAGCCAAGTCGCTATTTAGCAGAATTGATTTACCTGCGATGTTTTGTTAAATGCATTTCTTATTGTAAAGGACATTGTCATGATCTGAGGTCAAGACAACCCATTAGGCCTAATGATTACTTATTGTAATATTTATATATATCTCATTTATCTGCTAAGACCGTTAACAATAAAATTTGAAGTTACGTAAAATGAACAATAAAGTAAGTGAATTTTAAATGAAATCTCAAAATATATAACTATAAATAGTAAATGCATAGTAATTCACACATCTCTTCAAGCAAAAAGATTTAACCTAAGTTTATGAGATTAATTACTTTTTATTGCTTATTATGGTTAGAATTTACCCTCCTAAGTCCTAACTTTAACCCTTGCATCAATCTTTCTTCCTAGTAATTATTACTCTTTTTAATTAATCAATATTAGGGTCCATATTTATCTTCCGCTCCAAAGGACATAACATTATTCATAACACCTAACAATTTCCTCGAAGATACAAAAGCCGACATTTTAAAGATTACCGCAAAATTTTAGTGATTAATTTGAGATTTTTGAAAAGTAAGAAAACCTTTTAATGATGATTGGACGTCTATGCATAGCCATCTTTATGGAAATGAGAAAAGATCGGGTGACATTTTCCACTGTGTTTAAGTAAAAGGCCGTGCGTTTCAGATTGGATTCGAGTTGTTAACTCTTTTCCATCTTTTTGCAGAAGCACCTAATTGTTTACCATCGGCGAGATCATTGCAATGGGATTTTAAAGCTCCTTTTCTCATTTTCTCAATGCTATGATTTCTGTTTTCTAATGTTATGGTAGTGAAATAACACTCTTGTCAAACCCCCATTGGCTGTCAAGATTTACATGATTGCCAAAAGTTTAGGTTATTTGTAGTATGCCAACCGGCCCAGTGGTAACAACTCTTTGGAATAGAAGTGGTGACATCTTAAATTAGGGTTTAAGTCTTGATAATTAAAATATTAAGATTTTTTATAAAATTATTTAAATGTCTTTAATGAATTCTTTTATATATTCATTTATTAAATATATTTAAATAATTTTATAACGAGTCTTGACATTTTAATTATCAAAACATTTTAATTTTTTACAATCATTATATTTAATTTTGATATTTATATACTGCTAATACTCATATTTTAACATGAGAATCAAAATATATAACAACTAAATACTGAAAATTAATGACACCTGCCATTTAGGAACTACTCCTCATTTTTTGATTGCAAATTATTTTGAGGAGGAGGCTCGAGGAATTAGTTTTCAAGTGCTAGATGGGTTTTGTATACCCAATTTAGTGACCCCAAAAGAAATATTAAAATATGTGAGGGTGAACCAATAAGCCATAATGGCTGGTTCAACTAAAAAGAGGTTGAATTCATTAAAAAAAATGAAATTAAATCGAGTAGTCAAGCCGAGTTTGGAAAACAAAAACAAGCCAAGTCGAGCTTGGTCATCTTGCAGCTAAACAGTTTAGTTCATGCCTCATACAGTCCTAGTATGGTAAAACTTTTTTTTTTTTTTTTCTCATTCTTTCTATTTTTGGGCAAAATTGAGATAGTTTCATGATTTAACCCTATCCCAACCTCGCCATATCTTATTTAGTGCTTTTAAGTATGAACTTGCTTAACATTCAAGTGATTATGAGAACCCTCTTCTCATAATTAGATTTCATTCGTATTTAAATTTTCAATTAATTTGCAAAATAAGAGGTTTCTATTATGTTCAAAACCGTGTCCAAACATTTGAATTATTTAAATTAAAAAATGTTTTATAATTTAAATTATATAAGACTACAAAACATTAATTATTAAGTTAATAAATTCTTTAATATTAAATGAGAGATCTATTTATCTAATAATTAATATTTTACAATTTTATAAAAATTCACTCTTATTTGAATATATGCTATGTTAATATTGTGTGATTTCTCTACTTTATGCTTCCACATATATACTACAAGCATAATTTTGCATAATTGATTTGAGTAAAATATCAAAGCCATCAACCTGAATCCCATTTTCTTTGACACAATAAAAGCAGAATGATCAGCCTTTCAACCCGCTTGCTCTCTATGTTTCCAACACCATCAACCCCTTTCCCAATTTCTCTGACACATTAAAAACAAAATGATCATACCTCGACTTGGTTGTTCTCTCGGTTTCACGTTCATGGTCCCATCCTGGTCACCCAATCGTGTGATCCAGATTAAATCATCACAAGCAAATTCCTCGTTGTTGGCTGATTATGATTGACATTCATTCATTATCTATCATTGGAAATACTTAATCAAAAAAGCCTACCACTAAGGAATATTTAAGTAGCTGTAAATTAGTCTGTTAAGTTAAACAATCAAAATGTTTTCAAATCTAAAATATATATATATATATATATATTTTAAAGATATTTTTTTAGTTGTTAATAAAACTCAAACTTTGGATCAATTAAATCAAAGCATTTAAAATTTAAAAATGATCCACTTCAACTTAGAGTTTTAATTTGAATCTAAAAATATATCTTACACTAATACGATAATAGAATTTTAACTTAAAAAAAAAAGGGGTGGGGATATCTACATTCTTCTAAATCTCTAAATCGAGATTAATGACATATCTTTCACTAAACTTATTACACTTGAAGATCTATCATGGGAAATAAAACACCCCATGCCTGAAATGAACAAGCTCATCATTAGCTCGCCAGCCGTAATTCTCGCTGCCTACAGTGTCTTTTCCGTAAATTACCAACACATCGGGGATAAATTCGTCAGAACAAAAAATGGTCCCCATGATATAAACTCCAAAGACACAACCCATTAACCAAACAGGGAAGAAAACAAAGAGAAGAAAAGATGATAACCGCATCTGATTTCTACAAGGTGATGTGTGCAATGGTTCCATTGTACTTCGCAATGTTTGTGGCGTACGGTTCAGTAAAATGGTGGAGAATATTCACGCCGGAGCAGTGTTCCGGTATCAACCGGTTTGTTGCCGTTTTCGCAGTCCCCGTTCTGTCTTTCCATTTCATAGCTCAAAACAATCCCTACCAAATGGACACCAAATTCATATTGGCAGATACCTTCTCCAAGGTCTTAGTCCTTTTCTGTCTCTCCATCTGGGCCATCTTCTTCCACGGCGGACTCGACTGGCTCATCACTCTCTTCTCCGTCTCCACTCTGCCCAATACACTTGTCATGGGCATTCCATTGCTCAAGGCCATGTATGGAGACTTCACTCAAAGTCTCATGGTGCAAGTTGTTGTTCTTCAATGCATTATATGGTATTTTAACCCATCACATTTTCACGTTTTTTACCTTTTTTTTTTTTTTTTTTTTTTGAACATGTTAAATATAGTTTTCAGAAAAGAATTTTTGGTTTATGTAAAAGCTGATATCAACTTCTGACTAAAATTCGATTCAAACGCTTCTTCAAAAAAGTTATACAGTAAAGTTATCACGTTGTTAATATGGTATCATCAGAATGTAATTTCGCGACTAAGAAAATTGTAACATATATTGTGTGCAGGTACACGCTGTTGTTATTCCTCTTCGAATACAGAGCGGCCACAGTCTTGATAAAAACTCAATTCCCTGGCCCTGCTGCTGCCTCCATTGCCAAAATTGAGCTCGACAATGACGTCATCTCTCTAGATGGCCGGGATACACTTCGGACGGAATCCGAGACCGACGGGAATGGCCGCATTCGAGTCCGTATCAGGAGGTCGACGTCTTCCGCTCCCGACTCTGCTCTGTCCTCCTCCATATGCCTTACTCCAAGAGCATCAAACCTCTCCAACGCAGAAATCTTCTCGGTCCACACTCCTGCTCCGTTTCACGACTACCAACAAGGACCAAAGTCACCAAACAACGATATCGTGTTTTGCAATGGGGATTTGGGATTCGGATACCGAGCCGCCAGCCCGCGTTTGTCTGGCTACGCCTCGTCGGATGCCTACTCTCTACAGCCGACCCCGAGGGCGTCGAATTTTAATGAAATGGATGGGATTGCATCGCCAGCAGGAAACACGCCGATATGGATCAGGTCTCCTGTGGCCGGAAAAGTCTTCCGACAGACGTCACCGGTGGTTCCTGCCGTGAAAATGGTTTGGGAGTGTCAGGGTGGTCGTGAAAGCACAGGGGACAACAAAGATGTCCCTGGTACGTAAATGTGCACTTCAAGTATCAAAAATTTAAAAGTATAGTGCATTTACTTAACATATTAAGCATAACAGGACAAGTTTTGACCATTCTAGAATGAAACAAGAGTTCGAAATAATCTATAAATTTTTTATTCCCTTCTTTTTTGTTAGGTCAGACCTTTAATTGATAGGTAGCATCATTAACTCAGAGCACGTGTGTGATGATAAGGGGAAGGACTATGATCTTTCATGACATTATTAGTAAAGGATGCACTCTCCCTTTTTTTTGCTGGGGATAATAGTAAATGGAAAAGGTGATTTTGTAATTCCTCCTCCACAGACAGTAATACACTAACTTGATGATCATTGAAGCCCTTGTGGGCTAGCATTAGACTTTTTGATCATGAGAAATGAGAATGAGGTGTTTGTGGTTGACACAATATAAATTGTAAAACAGTAAATTTTAGTATATTTTATGATTTTTTAATATAAAAAAAATATGATGTATTAATATTAAAAATATTAAGATATTTAATCTTAATCATAATTTAAGTAGAGTTTACATTATATTTTATTTATTATATGTTTTTAATTTGATATTATGATATTTTTAATATTAAAATATTTTTATTTTTTGTATTTTTTAATATTATTTAAATTTTTTAATTTGATATTATGATATTTTTAATATTAAAATTTTTTTATTTTTTTATTTTTTAATATTATTTAAATATTTTAATATGAGGTTAGATTAGTTTTACAAATAATTATAAAACATATCATCTATACATAAGTATTGAGTAAACTCTACCTAAAAGTGATAGATATATATTCAGTCAGCTGTCATTGTTAGTAATTGGATGGTTGTGAGAAAAAGTTCAAATCTATATTTCTAACATGATTTGCATCATTATTAATCATTTGAGTTATTTCTAATGACTTTGTTTCACCTATATGGTGATGTAACAGAAGTAGCAATCTGTACATATAGAGTTTTATTTTTAACATTTTAATGATTTTGTTTCACTTATATGACATATGACATATGACTTAAATTTAAAACTCAATTCACTTTTAAGTACTTCCTAAGGAGCAAAGTTATCAAATACCAATAAAATCTTTGGCACAAATTAATGCTAATTAAATTAGCATTCTTCGTGTAGAGGATGCCTCTCTTTGCATAAATAATTTAGATTTCAGAGACTTAAAATTTTGTTAATCTAGAAAGCAAGTATCATTTTGTAACCCAATTTCAGAGTTCTAAGTCTTATGGTAAGTAACTGTCGTCAGCATCTAAATCTATATGACAATGATATTCCCATTGTAATGTTTTTTCTGGAGTTTTAATCCTTTTCTTCTTTAAATACATTAATTTTTCTTAGAGAAGGAAATCAGCTTCAGAGACAACTCCAAAATAGCAATGCCAGAGGTTGCAGACGGGAAGGAAGACACAACAGTAACCAAACAAGAAATGCCAAACGCCCTAGTCATGCTTAGGCTTATACTAACTGTGGTTGGAAGGAAGCTCTCTCGCAACCCAAATACCTACTCAAGTGTCTTAGGCCTACTATGGTCTCTCATCTCCTTCAAGTAAGTTAATCTCGTCTTGTGACTATGAATACATAACAAGATTCTAAGAATGTAATTTTTTATAAAATTTTATAATTTTGACATGAATGATATGCTTTTAAATTTGGAGTATGACAATGTGTCTTATTTTTTACCATTATTCGCACATGTATGCATATTAGGTATGACACAAATATTTCTTGGATTTGTGCAGATGGCATGTGGGGATGCCCAGTTTGGTGAAAAATTCCATCAAAATAATTTCGGATGCGGGCCTTGGAATGGCAATGTTCAGTTTAGGTACCTAATTTCTTCCTCTTCCCATTTTGGGTTACACAATTTTACCTAATTTCTTCTTCCCATTTTGGGTCACACAATTTTCAGGGATAGTTTTTTTCTTCTTCTTCTTCTTCTTCTTCTCTTGCTTTAATTAGCTTTTCTTATGTTTAATGAAGGCAAATTATACAAATATCAAATTCTTAATACAATTAACTAACATTTTTGTACTAAGTGCCCTTAATTGATAAAATTGAAGGGTTGTTCATGGCTCTTCAGCCACGGATCATCGCCTGTGGCAAAAAAAAGGCGACAATGGGAATGGGGATCCGCTTCATGTTCGGCCCTATAGTCATGTCTGCGGCATCAATTGCTGTTGGCTTAAGAGGAGTGAAGCTACGGGCTGCCATAGTACAGGTACTCTACAATCACATGAAATCTTTTCTTTTCATCTTAAAATTTAAATTCAATATCTTATATTCGAATTAATAGATTATCCTATAAATGAACATTTTAATTTTATCTTACCCTTATTTATTAGCTTCTCTTCATCTCAGGCAGCCCTTCCACAAGGGATAGTACCATTTGTTTTTGCTAGAGAATATGGATTGCATCCTGATATCCTTAGTACAGGGTAAGTCATTAGGTAAAAGCACGAGTACTGTAGTCGTCTCTGCATCTTATCAAAGGAAAAAAAGCACAACACTAACTCTTTTTTTTTCCATTTTATTTTTGCAGGGTCATATTTGGCATGCTGGTTTCTCTACCAGTTACGCTCCTCTACTACATACTTTTAGGCATATGAATGTAACAAAGCAAGAAATGGAAGACCATAATAATAATATTGCCCCGATGTGGTAGGCCCTTGGAGTCGAAATAGTATCATGCCCCTATTATTTTCCCTACTATGTATATTCAATCCGACACTTTAAAGCATGGTAAATCTCTGTTGTCGGGTCCATTACACGCACCTATCATGCAATGTGTCATTAGCTTGATCATTGGTCTTTCCGACACCCTAAATTTCTCTTGAAGGAGGTTGACTTGAGGAAGAGACTAGAGTAATGATCTTAGAATGTTTGGTATAATTAATATTAGGTTTTTTCATGTCACTGGTACAAGGATCTATTAGTGGTAACCGAAAGGAGGAAAGGATTATCATGACTTATGATTAAGGTAGGAGACTAGTGTTCCTTGTTGGAGGTAGGTAAAGTTTGTTGCAAACAAGCGTGCTTGACTCAAGGAAAAGGAAATAATAAAAGGGCAAGACATGCTTTTGTTTTCTCGTCTTGTTTTCTTTCCTGCATGAAATCAAAAAGGCCACTTATATCTGCTTAGAAATATTGAAGATTGAAAACATGGATTAAGCGTGTTATTCTTGCTCATGATATATTGGAAATTTAGTACCTACATATTACATGCTCAATTGTTAAGGTTTTTAGTGGTGTGACAACTAGTTCTGGATTCAAATTCAGACAGTGACTTCTCCTTCTCGTACCCTTTTTGTAAATGTAACAAGTGGGATCTTTTAAAAGAAAAAGGATGTATGACAAAAGTAAAGGAGGCAATTGAATTGTTGGGGAATCCAAAATAAGCAAAGGGGGAGTATTGTGGCAACAGTCTTGCAACATCATGATTCAGTTCGCTTTTTGCTAGAAAGTATTCATTTTATTCCTATGTGAAAGGGCCATTAATTTGTGTCTAACCAGATTGTCTTACTTGGACTTTATACTTTTATTTTTTCACAAAAGGCTGGAAACAAAAGTCTCTCGGAGGTGGCTAGGCTTGACTTGAATAAGTTTTTTTAGTGTTGAAACTAGTCCTAAGATTCAATAACTTAACCTTTGTTTACAATTATACATACATATATATATATAGGGATGACAATTCTCCCTGTTCCTCGTGAGCCCTGCAGGAATCCCCGTCATGAGGACGAGGTGAGGAGTAATATTCCTCCCCGCAGGGCAAGGACAAGGACAGGGACCATTTTCGTGGGGAATTCTCCTAGCCCTGCAAGGCTCCACGGGGATCCCCATCCCCGCAAAAGAAAAAAAAAGGTTTTATTTTAAAATTAATTTATTCTTTAAGCCCAAACCCAAACCCAAACCCAATTTAATTACAATTAAACTTAACCCAATACTATCCAACCCAACCCAACTCCCAACCCAACTCAACCCATTCCCCTACATTTAACTTTAACCTTAATTTATCTTAATTCTCACCACTCACGGTCTCACTCTCAATCTCTGTTTGCGGCTCACCCATCTCTCACCTTCATCTCACCTTCTCAGTTTCCTTTGCTGTAGCTACTGTTGAAGCTTGTTGTCGAATCCATCTTTTCTACTACTGCTGAAGCCATCTACTTTGTTGTTGCCGGATCCATCTGCTCTGCTGCTGCTACTGAATACATCTGCTTTGCTGTCGAATCCATCTCCTTTACTGCTACCGAAGCCATCTCCTCTACTGCTACCGAAGCCATCTGCTCTACTATTGCCGGATCCATCTGCTCTGTTGTTGCCGAAGCCATTTGATATTAATTGGTGGGGGCGAAAAACAGGGATAGGGGGCAAAATTTGCCCTCCGTCAAAAATCCCTGCAGGGATCCTCGTCCCCGTGATTCGCAGGGACAGGGATGGGGAAGGGCTCCCTAGCCTCGCGGGGCCGTTGACATCCCTATACATATATATTGTTTGATTTAGTAATCAAGTCTAAAATCTGAAATAAAAAATTTTAAATTAAATTGTTATAAGCAAACATGCAAACTTGTAAATTTAGATTCTTTTTAGTATGATTGTAATTTTGAGTTTTTTATTTTAATTTTCAAATTTTAAATAATAAAAATTAAAATTATCAATTTATTGAGTCTAAAATTTTAAAATAAATACCTAAAATTTAAAATTTAATTAATTTAAAAAACTATTTAATTTTATTTTAGGGTTTTTAAAATTTTAAAAATTAAAATAAAAAACTCAAAACTACAACTATATTAAATGAAATCTTAATAAACATACTTATTTAATTGTAGTTTATTAAATTTTCAATGAGATTAGTGCAGCGTATCGATCTTAATTCACCAAAAAATTAGATTCTTAACTTATATTTAGAAATTGAAATTTCAATTCAAAATTTAAAGATCCAATTAGTTTTCAAATCTAAATATCAATGTTTAATAAGAAAAAGTTTTGAATTTTAAATTAAATTTTAATTAAATAAAACGACGTAATTTAAATTAAGATTTTAATTTTTTTAAGAGTTGTGACTGATATGTATTTTTTTTTAATTTTCAATAACCCAACCAAAAAATCAAATGGAGCCTTAATTGGACTTTCTATTTTTATCAAAATTGAATTCAATCTCATAACTTAAATGAGCTCGATATTGAACTCAATATCAATCTTGACTTCAAGATTTTCGGTTGTTGCCTAAAATTCTTTTGCAATACGAATAAATTAAACATGGTCCTTGGTGGGCTTTGAGGGGCCCTTATGGTTCATTGGGTCCTGGTTTATTAAGCTGTTAGCTGTCCATTGGTTGGTGCTATTGGACTCTCGGCACGACTGGGATCTGTTTAATGGAATGGGCCAATCAGTCGTGATCCTTTTTGTAATCCGGCTCCACACGATAGGATTGAACAAGTTGACCCTTCAAATTTTTTTTTTTTTTTTTAATGCCAAAAAGAGGCTTGGTTATTTTTACAATCCAAACGGTTAAGTCTACTTTATGATTTTATTGATTTATAATTTTTAAAAAATGGTTAATATGATATTTAAAAATATTCTTTATATATTAATTTTAATATATTAAGTAATAAATATTATTGTAATTATTTTATTAATTATTAATTATTTTTAATAATTAAATTAAAATAAAAATTTAATAATTATTAGTGGCTTGAATTGAGTGGTGGCTATAACCTTTGGCAAAGTCACATTTTAATTTGGAATTGAACTCAAAATGGAATGAATATAATAAAATCAATGTTAATTATTTAAATAGTTCAATGATAATTTTTTCTAATAAAAATAAAAGATTTTAAATTTGAATTGCATAATATACACGTGGAATGAATTAAGTAATAAAAAAAATTATTTCTCATTTTATAATTCAAAATCAATAATAATAATAATAAAACCATCATATGTGCTCATATGTACAAAATTTGTATGCTTTGATGGTAGGATTATCGTATTGTATTCTCAACCACATGCCTATAGTTTAACAATAATGCTATAATTATAATGTCATGTAAGATTATAAACTTACAATTTTATGTTACATTTAATGAAATATGATGTAACATTAAATAAATGAATGTATAAAATATCACAAGTAAATCCCTAAATAAAAAAAAGATAATTACATAATAACACATCATATGATACATTTATAATGTCATATGGTATCATAATTATAGTATTTTTGAAAGTTTAACTTTTAATTCCAACCTTTAAAAAATGAATGTAATATCTGATACCAGAATTTTATCACAAAAAATAAACACCAAAAAAAGATAATTATATAATAACACATTATATTAAATGTCTATAATACCACGTGATATTATAATTATAACATTTTTAAAAATTTATCTTTTAATTCCAACCTTTGAAAAATGAATGCAACATTTGATACCAAAATTTTATCACGAGAAATAAACACCAAAATCCAAAAATGGTGATGGAAGAATAAAATAGAGTTTGGCTATGGCTGTGTAAATTTGTTAAACTATGCAATATTGTTAAAATAATATTTATTTTATTTTATT